GATTTTACTAAGACGCCTTTCGCGATCCAGATTAAATAGTTGTATAAATTATATCCATACATTCCGAGAATTTTTTTTTTATAAGAAGATTATTTCTGTGACAACATTAAATTTTAGATTTAAGTATCCGCCTTCATGTATGTATTTAAATTTAGCAACAACTACGAGCACTTTATTAAGCACCTTTACTTTTGGCGCGCTTTTCGTGACCTCAATGTTTACAATTAAGTATATGACATTTAAAAAAAATCTTTTTTTATTATTAGATTATTATTTAATTACTCAAAATCGGTTAACAACTAATGGACTTTTTCAATATTATCGATTTTTGTAAAGTTTACCAAATTGGTAAAATAAAAATAAGAGGCAACACATCGTTTAAATCTTTTTTGTTTATTTTGCTACACGTATACTTTGTCGTCACATCCACTCTAGCATTTTTAATAATCATAAAGAAATGTTTCGAACTAGAAAGAGAGATTATTTAAAAAAATTCCAACAAAATGTACAACAAGTTCTAATCCGATACAATAGAAAAAAGTTTAATTTCTACTTTGACTGGTAATCGAAGCGTGAGACTAGGATTTCAGAGATGGCGACACCTTGAGACCGGTGTGCATGATCGCGGCCACGGAGTTCCATTCAAAACTTATTTCTAGAATCGTTAACAGGAAAAAACTAAGATAATTAATATGAGTAATCAGTTCAATGCCATGAAATATTACTATACAAAATAGTCATTGTTGGCAAGAACGTGTACTCCAACGTGCCATGTTTGACAGACGCATGTGCATACGCATGCTTTAGGCAGCCATGTGGTAATGCTATAACCAGTAGTGTTATTTTGTTATTAAACAGCTTCGAGCTCGACAACGAACTGAGCACTGTCAAAGCATAGGGGTTCAATGATAAAACTTACTTGAATGACTCAGTTACACTGATCTACGGTGTACCGGACCGCAGAAATCGTCCGCATCCGGCACGTGGTAAAATCTTTATTTTTTCTGACTCATTTATACTCAGTGACTAGGAGTAAGAAAAGATAAAGGTTTTATTTGATCTCTAAGCAATGATTATTATTATTATATAAATAATAAGCAGTGATAACTATGATAACATTTTCACAACAGCTTTGATATTCTATAAAAATACAGAGTCGTAGAATGTAGTAGTGATGCGACTCGAGTTCATTTTTTACTCTGATCACTCGTGTGAATTTATTAAACGCGTGCTCGAAAAAAAATCACTCAGGGCTCAATGCACACGAATTATCGAGTCAACTCGGCTCATCGAGTTGATTCTTTTGCCACTAGATGCCACTTCGCTTCTCTAACATATTTTATCTGCGCCGCTTATTTTTTATTTTCTTAATTACCTCAATAAATAATATGTTAAAACTCTTCTAATGTGTATTTTGTTTAAAACTACCAAAAGAATCTCACTCAAGTAGCACGTTTGCATTTTTTTACCCGAGTGACTCGAGTCACAAAGTCCTACTCGCGTCGCGTCACTAAAATGTAGGTTCATCAATACTATCTGAATAACTGACTGATTTAGTTTTATTGTAAGAAAGTTTCTATCGAAACAACGCAAAATGGTTTTAGCACTTGTGAGTGTCGAAACATGGTTAGTTTATTATATCCATATCCACTGCTGTATTGGTATACAATAAAGAATATTTCATTAGTGCATACAATTAAATACATATATTTTGCAGTGTAAATGACCATATTTTTTCCATCTTCAAATTAGCATTCAGAAGTCACGTTTTCCCTCATCTTCAAGAGTCTGTCGATTTGAGTATATGGTTTAAATTTCAACTCCATATCTCCACGTGCTCTGAAATAAAAAGATCTTTGTAAACAGACAGACAACAAATCAATCCCGTTAGAATTCCGTTTTTATTAAAAATATATATATTTACACTGTAATGTAGTAGAGGAGGTAAATTAAACGGACGATATATAATTTAAAAAACTGTTCTCTTTTTTAGGGGAATATATTAATATTTTGATGTTAAAGAAAAAGAAAAGAAATTCGAAATTTCAGTCATATTTATTTAGAGAAATCAAGAGAAATATATTATTCTGGATGACAAAATCCTGCTTATTTCAAACGTCCTTACAGCTAAGTTACTTTTGCAATAATCTGCATTTCACAAAAGAGTTTTGAAGCATACTTTACAACAATTCTAACTTTTTCCTTGTTATTGTTGAGTATTATTTATGTTCACAAAACCTGCGTAACGCTTATTACGCAATAATGAACACACGTTGAATTTGAGGAGGCTTTATATGTATTGAAATATCGATAACTCGGGCTCTCACATGTTATGTAATCATGAATGCATGGGAAAAAACGTGACTATCATGCTTGCTTACTTACTTTGTTTGATGTCATTTAAGAAATAAAGAGTTAGGAAGTTTTTAATGGACTTAAAATAACCTGTATGTGGTTAAAGAAATAACATACGAAATTACATACATACAGATCTCGTATGTATCTGTATGTATGTAATTTCGTAAAAATGGCGCAATATTAATTATTTATTTAGGGCGCGTCCACCTAAGGGCGTTTGTGCACTATACTGAATTTTCAGGTCCCTGAGTCCGATATTTACCGATTCGGAATGGCATGATAAACTCGGATGATTAGCTTGTGCACTTGTCTGTTTTTTTCCGGATCGGAGCGGCGTAGTTCAGGGCAGCTCTCTTTGAAGCTACACGTCACGCTAGGTACAATGAGATTTTTGGAACATCGGCAATTGCTTGCTTTATTACTCTACGTGCAAAGACGTAGAAGACAGAAAAAATATAAAAAGTAGTTAACCATCAATTTATTCATTAGTTACGGTTGTAGGTTATTTTGATTAAATAATCGTAGGTTATGAGAATTATTTCGATTTTATATATTAAATATTTATTTATACTTATCTTATCAATTGCCTAAAAACAAAATTTGATAATAACAAATTTCAATGCAAACTATCATTTCCTATTTCCATCTATTTTTCGCGATAAAAGGTAGCCTATGTATTTTTTCAAGGTCAAATCTATTTGATAGGTTCAGTTAGTAGGGCGTGGAATCGTAACAACTTTATTTGTCTTACCTTAAGTTATCGATACTTTTGATTCGATATTGTTTATTTAATACTTTTAACACTATTCTAGAATCTAGCAAAGTATCCACACTAGACGATACGACGATTAAATTAGAACTATATCGAATTTGCCAAGGCACATGCAGTGATATTTACCAACTATGTATATGAAATCATCATATAAAATATCGAATTTTATACTATACAATTAACAATATCGCCGATATAAATATCGATTTTTTATATTTGATTATTTTTTCTCAAGCCTACTCCACAGGCTTATGAATTTTACGGATTGCGGACATAGCAGTGCACAAACGTAAACACGTTTATTATTGCCGCCACCTCGGACCGGAAAATGGCAGTCCGAAATTGACAAAAATAAAATTCCGGACTGTGCACATTACTACTTTAGCATGCCTGTATTTCGATGGATAACCTATTTAGTTTGTAACAAGGCTTTCACAACAGTATTTCAAATCTACACTACACTGGTTTACAGTGTATCTGTTGCCAAAATAATTTTAGCTGTTGCTAACAGATATCATATTCTTATTCCAAAAACCCTGATAACATTCTTCCATGACTCGTAAGTCTTAATGCAGACTCTCCTTGCTCTTCGCTCATATCTCCAAATTTTTCCGGAAACCTGTCCAGGTGACTATCAAGAAAGTGGAGTTTTTTGCTCGTATTGCACCCCATATATTTCAATTGTAAAAAGGTTCTTCAAGCTCTACAAGCTGGACATAATTTTCAGATTTTTTTGTTTTACGAGAAAATTCTTCATCATTGAGACAAAAGCTGTCCAAGTCCTTAGTTCAAGCTCACTCATTGAGTTTAAATTGAATATCTTTTAAGAGTTCTCTTATTTGAGAGTAATCTTTTCCATAGTGAGCTGAGGGAATTTTTGGCAAATGTATGAAAATCAGTTCCCGGTTTTATCTAGTACTTTAACAAACTGTTTAATGATTTCCAGTTTGATATATAATGGCGGTAATATAATTTTGTCACGTGCTACTAATGAATTCTGGATTATATTGGGCTTCCCAGGCGACATATTTGTTCTTAAAGGCCAGATTCTTCTCACCTCATGCTCTAGTTTAGCTCTACTGTCCCAAAGACAAATCAAACAGGAAAACATAGTGTAACCACTTTGTTGACCAAGAAGAATGTTCACCATTTTTAAATCGACACCAATTTGCCACTGATGGTCATTTTATTTTATTTTGTCCAAGACTAGTGAGATGTTACAATATTCTTCCTTTAACTTTGTACTGTGGGCAATAGGTATCCCAGCGTATTTATTTCCATTATGTAACAAAATACACATTAGGCTACGTTTTGAGCTGTCAATGAATAAACGCCAATCGTTTGGTTCGTAATTTCTCAAGCCCTTTTTATCATCAAGTTTTTAATATCTAAACAAAAGGTAAAAGATATTCTTTTTCTTCAGAAAAAAACACCGTAATTCTTTTTCTCTTTCTCGATAAAAAAGTTATTTTACTTCCTGAGGAAAGTAAGTTTCTTTCTTTCATTAAATTTTGATTAATTTTGCATTCATAATGCCATGCTGAAAATTATTCTTAATACAAAATGCTTAAAAAATCCACTTGGTCCCTGGCATCCTGAAATGGGAATCGAACCCGCGACCTTTCGCAATCCGGGCGACTGCTCTAACCACTGAGCTACCCAGGACCTAACAGGACTGACGAATCTTTCAAGCACTTGTTACTTTTCGCTACTACAGAGCGTTTGTAGTAACGAAATTCCTTTGTAGGTATTACACTAGACTCCCGACTGCAACGGGGTCCTCATATTGATAACTTGTCAAGTAGACTGAGTTCTGCAGACAAATGTTGAAACGGCAAGATTGGTATATTTTAGTTATTTTCATAGTGTAATGACGGATGGTCTATTGTTGTGGGGTTCTGTAGCTAGCATTCAAGATATTTTTATTCTACAAAAAAGAGCTGTCCGCGCTATATACGAGTATAATTTACGGTCTAGAGAATCTCTCAAAGTATTTAAAGAAATAAATATTTATACTGTGGCCTCTCAATACATCTATGAAAATATTATGTACACAAGAAAACATTACGATTCCTTCACAAAAAAAGTAGTGTTCATAATCTTAACACAAGAAATAAAAATAAACTTGCCGTTCCAAGCTTCAGACTTTAGAAAACCAGAGGATTATTTCTGGGTAAATGCATTGCTATGTTCAATAAAGTTCCACAAAATGTAATTGACCTTCCCATTAATAAATTTAAAATTCATGTAAAGAACATACTTATGAGTAAAGGCTATTATAAAGTTGATGATTATTTTAAGGATCGCAATGCATGGAATTAATATCGCTTTGTTCTATAACGACTAATTATATGTTCAACCTATGACCTACAGACTTTGAAAGTTGTATTATAATACATATTATTTTGGTAATGACATGATTTATTTAAATGTCATTACTTATGATAAAGAGCTGGTAAGTTTCTTTCGCTTGTTCTTCTTGTCAGCTAAAAGACGTCTTGAAGTGGTAGGGGAAAAATTTTTTTTTTTTGGACGATTCAAAAGTGCTTGTAATTAGCCTACTTGAATTAAGATATTTTCATTTCATTTTATTAATTACACTTTAAAGTAGTAAGATGAAATTTCGTCAGAATATTTGCTATGATTATCATATTGTATGGCTGGAGTTAAAAGTAGGCGGTCAGACTCTAGTTCTCACATTTGCTACGTCTCATACTTTCATACCTCACCCCAGTGGCGTAACTACAGGGTGGCAAGTGGGCGAAATACCACAGGCCACCAGTTGGAATGGGCCCGCGGTCAGAGGAGAGTCCTTACTCCTCACATTTATTATGACGCAATTAGTAAAAAAAAAAAATCCGATGAATTTGCCACGTGCCTCAAACGGTACAGTTACGCCACTGCTTCACCCTTTTTACCTTTATTACCTACAATCACATCCAATTCTATTTAAAGCTGCTCACATAATATTTTATCGAATTTCACGTGGTAAGTTTGTTTGGTCATCAATAATCCTTTATTTATTTACAGGGTATGAAACTCTTTTAAATTTAGTTCTCTTTATTCATATACATTTCTATAATTCTTTTATTACATTTATTTTCTACATCTAGATTTTCTGATTAAAACTTATTTAACTGTCATTTAGCCTATTTTTTTTAATATTTACATATAGTCCCAAAGTGATATTCTAAGCACGCGTGCCAAATTTAAGTGTATGTATGTCGTAATTAGAAGTCTTTGTTTTTATTCAAGTCTTTGGACGCAATAAAATGGAATCCATTCTTGGCGCACATAGAACGGTATTCTTGGGAATGTTAGTTGTTTTACTTGCGACTTGTTGTAAGCGTATGTCACTACGAAAGAATTATTGAAAACAAATAAACAAACAATCAAATCATTCTTCAATATTAGTATAGGTGGATGATCTTAAGAGAAGTTTTCATATTTTAATATTTATTTATTATAAAAATTACTCGTTAGATCATCGGCATCTATAATAAGTCAGGAAAGCCAGCCGGTTAGAGAAATTTATACCATAGATAATTATCTATGGTATAATTACAAAACATGATCAAACGTGCGTTAAAATATAACAGGTAAAAACGTTTTTCTGCGTGACACGAGGCATTCATACATGTGAACATGTGCGCCTACATTCGGTAAAATAACAAAATGTATTAAACTAGGAAATCTGAATGTTAATTGTGCTTGTTATATTTATACCAAGCATAATTGGACACTGATAAGCCATTATGTTTCAACTAACAGAGACAATATTTCGAGAAAATGGCGTCTAATTAATGATTTGTTATGACGAAAATATGTTTTTCCATACTTATATCGTTCGGCGTATTATGGCCTTTATACAATCTAGCTAATACCTAGGCAATTCAGTTTACGCCCGTATACTGAGTTGTTCTTTTTCGTCGTCTTTCACGTCTTATTATGTGCGTTAATTTACCCGGAATCATGCTACATAACTATACCCCGGTTTCTCAATTAAGTATTTAAAACTGAGAACGCCTCAAACAGCACTTAAACATTATTTAAACAGTTTTTCGTTTCTGATTTTACATTTTTTAATGATCAGTTGATAGCAGCTTAAAAAACTAGGGCGTTTTGACATGTGAAACGTAAAAAATTAAGTTGTTGAAAATTATCAAAAGGTAAGGTCGCTTTAAATTAATGACAATTTAATGGACGTTTGAGCAACTGACCGTATATTGGTTTTTACTTAAAGGTGACGTTTAAGAATCGACCCGACGCGATATCGGTTATTGTGTATAAAATATTATTTTCATACAGAATGAATGGGTTTTTATAACATTTATTCAAAATTATAATTGTATAAAAACCAATAAAGTAACTTTATATATATGTACAAGTAATAGGGAATAGTTTTTATTACACCAGTGACAGCCGCATATTTACTAGATAATAAATATATTATCAAACAACATTACATACATTGCTCAGATTCCAAGATGAGTAGCTAAAGATCCCGTATTATGGAGTATATGAGACAACGTAGCCACACCACAACACTGTTCGTTGTCTTCGTTGTCAATATAGAAAATTTCATTTTCTACATTGACGCGACCGGGAATCGAACCCGGGACCTCAGAGATGGGGACACCTTGAAAACAGCGTTAACGACTAGCAACGATTAACTGTAAATTTTACAATCCATTCAATAACAATATGATTCAGTAATATTAATAGAGTAAAAGTTGAGTATGTGTTACCAAGCAGATAAATGTTTTCTCTATATCGTAGACTAGACACCGGCTATGCTATGAGTCACAGCATACCTACTCTAACGCAACGTCATCAATCATCATGCAACGCACGTGCCAACGTTCTACGAAACTAATGAACAAACCTTTTTTAATATATTCTGTATTTCTACCTTTTGAAAATAAAAAAAAATCTTAAATTATATAACATCACATGACCTACATTGCTCAGTCTGATTCCAAGATGAGTAGCGAAAGCGCCCGTATTATAGAGTATCTAAGATAACGAAGATACTACTACACCCAGACCCTAAACAATATAGAAAAGTTCATGTACGCGACCGAGAATCGAACCTCAGAAATGGCGACACCTTGGAACCGGCCTTTTTTTATATGACCTTCGACTACGGAGGTCATATAAGTAGTCAGTAAAATCAAACAACAACCTTTTTAGTGTAAGTAATTATGTTATGTTTCATAAATTTCTTTCTTTCTTTGAGGAAAAGACGGACTCCATTTTGTTTTTAGCCTTTATCTACATTGTTTAACGGCTTCCTTCTTTCATCTCAATTTGAAGCTTTCTCTATTCATTCAATACAATCTGTTATAATCCTTATTTGGCTTTACTTGCGAGTTTTAATCGCTCCGATCGTATTAAGAACTTGTCAGTATCATTTATTAAAATTAAACAATGAAACTATGTCTAAAGTAAAATATACTTATAGCTAATTTGATTTTCATATAAATTCCAATGTGTGCAAAAAAATATTACCATGTTTGCAATTAAATATGCACAATTCTCAAGGTTAGAAGCAATAGATTTATATACATACTTTTCATTTATTTCGAGTCGTACATCAAAAAACCAACAAACAACCGTATCCAATTATATTTAATCGGAGTATCTGGGCGACAGATCGCCCTACCAAATGTTTCAGACACGTGTTTTACCATGCGAGGTGTACCATGCTATTCCAACCCAGCAGGGTGCCTACATTATGGAGGTAATTTTACCTTGTTTTACGGGTAATTTTATATCTAACAGATATATTTTAAGGCGAATTTTCACTACACGAATTGTGTAAAATGCAAAAGGAGTAACGTAGATTTTAAGAAAATACATGAAGATGTACATAATATTATTATTTCTTCAACTAAATCAGTTATTATAATCATACTCTCAATAGCATTATAGTCTACATTAAACTCTCTAACATATGGCGTAGCACAATTTCGTGTAACTGATTGAATTCTTATTGTAAACAATATCTATATTACATCTGGTTAGCAAAAAAAATCAGACTGTATTTTTCATTCATTAAAAAAATTACAATTGATCGTTTTGGAAATAACGGCTAATTATATCATGTACATACATCCCTACATATTGAAGGTTTATCACAGAGAAAATTTTTCAATAAATTGATGAAAATACTTCAAATATATTATTCATTTCTAAATGAATGTGGTAATTAATACAATTAAATGACAACTCAAATTTCTGTCTCGTTTCTCGACAGGCGCGAAGCGGCTTCACCGGCCGGCGCTACGAGTGTCTGCGCATTCGATTTTCAAACACTCCGCGTTCGTACTCCGTACTGATTAGACGGTACTACGCGATATTCGTGAACATTATCAACTGCCAGTGTTATTTGTGTTGTAATTCTGTGTTCCATCAACATGTGTGAAAAAAGAACGAGGAAAATTAAAAAAGGTATTAAAACTTTTTGATTATTTTCGTAGATATAGTTCAGTCTTTTGTTTGTGGGAAATGGTGTCAGAAGAGACTGTGGTTACCTTCATCGGCTACTGAATGATGCCATCCGTTTAAAGACACTGACCTACCATAAATATTGTTATACGTAATGAAGTATAAATAATTTAAGTATTACCTAAATATATTATAATTAATAAACCAAATTAAATAATAATTTTTGCAAGAAAAAAATATTTTAATAATAAACTCCTTGGTTGATTTTTAATTTTAGTTAATAATGACAAAAGCATACATATAATATTTTTATATTTGGTTGTTATTATAAAAACATTTTATTAAAAAAACCAAACGTTTTTAATTACTTTGCAATAATTCGATTACTCATCTAATAACGCAAGACAATCCATGTTTAAAACACTTTCTACTTACTTTCCTATTACATCACAATAATAAAGACATCTGTTTGTGGGAGTGAGGAAAAATATCGCATGGGAATTTGGACCGTATTACAATTTGGTAGATAAGCGTTACTATTTATATTACCGTATAATACAAAAGAGGGGAAAAATATTTATGCTTATTTTAAATTGCGTTTTAAGGATGCATACTACTCCATGATAGATGTACTAAAAGGAGATCCAGATAAATGAGTTTTTGTATGCAAATTAAGTAAAAAGAACAAAAGTAGCAATAATGACTTTATGTAGATTATATATATCATTACTTAGTGAATATTAAGTACATACATATGGCACCTTAGGTTACTACAATATGTCAAATTTCTGCAATTGACTTTGAACTCTGCTGTTAATGTTTTAGAGAAATTTAAAAAATGTAGATAAATTTTTCAGTTTTGAATAATCTAACGTATTGTTGACTGTACCTACAGAGCAATGTGAATTGAACAATGTGGTAAGCAAATACTAATGACAAGAGCATTTTCAAGCTTGGGAACGTAAACGATCAATGTGTAAATTATTTTTCAAAAACTTTGCAATCAATAAAAAGCACTATATATAACGTTATTACACAATAATAAAAGATTTTCAACAGAAAACGCATGTTTGGTGAACTTTATTTTATTTAAAATAAAATCAATAACTTAGGCATTTGAAATGGCGTTCCACGCTAATTCAGCATAATTTAAAAAAAGTTTCGGCTTTTAAATGGTTTTTAGTATTGGTTATGTAATAAGTACTAGTTACAGAAACAACAGCGATCTCATTTAGAATCGCTTAGGATATACAGCAGGTGATATTCTCGACCTTCTGCAAGCATTGGCTCAACTTGACATTTATAATGTAATCACCACAAACTGATGTAATAGTTTTATTATCATATATTTGAATACACGAGACATTTGATATAAATGCAGCACCTTGATAAATGGGTCATGATGAATTAATTAATTAATTTGGTATAATTTAACTTTTCAATCACCATCAAAAGGTTTTATTTGCGTCAAAATGGATTGTTTAAGTTTTCTTTTATATTTTTCCCGTGATACGATTCCAAACAAACTAGCGAAACACCTGGTAGTAACTACTGTTTATTTTATACTAAGTTTTCCGCCAGTGACTTCGCCTGGTCTTATATTATATATTACACTTAAACCTTTCTCTTGAATCTCGCTCTATATTGATGAAAACCGCATTAATATCCGTTGTGTAGTCCAAAAGATCTCAGCATACAAACAGCGGGAAACGACTTTGTTTTATAGCTTACGATACTAATAGCTTTCGCCACCGGCTTCGCCCGCGTGGTCCCTATGGAAATGTTTAGTGGGATAAAAAGCATCCTGTTATGTAGGTCAGCTAATACCCTATATGTATACCAAATTTCATCAAAATCCGTTCAGTAGTTTCGGCGTGATTGATGGACTAACATCCAAAAAAAGAAACTTTCACATTTATAATATAAATAGGATGTATAAATGTAACATAAAAGTATTTTAGTCGGAACTAATTTGATTCTTATAAATTAAAAAAAAAACATATGATTACTTCCTAATGAGAAACTGAAACTTTGTTATTGCGTTAGTTATCATGGACTTAGTATTATATAACAGGAATGAGTATTCCCAGCTGTAAAGCGATATTAAGTATACAGGCTCTTTGGCCCTTTTTAATAGGGCGACAACAACATTTTAATTAAATGAGACTTAACATAGGATTCAGTTTTTAATTAATGCGGCTTTTATCGTACACGATAATCTTCTTTTTGTTACAATAAATATATTTTTATTATTTATTTTAGATACTCATAGGCTATCTATCAGTGAAATCGCGCCCTTATAATAGATATGGAAAATCGCAAGCGTTTGTTTACTCTTGAGTTTTAACAATATATCAATATCGGTCACAAATTGTACTCATGGTCTGCGATATCGCTTATATTTTATGAGGGCTCGATCGGCTCGATCTACTTTTGATTTTTGGGTTAGAAAATCGAGGAGCGATATCAGCTCCGAAATCTCACAAACACGGCTACTAATATTGCCAAATCATAAAAATATATTCAATTTGATAAAAAAATAGCAATATCCATCCAATATAAATAAATGAATAACTGGATGGTGAAGCTTTTGGTGAATAATTCGATGGTGAAGTGATTTTTTTTTCGGAACTATTTTACAGTACGTATTAATATTAATATTAATTGGATGTATGACCAAATTTACATGTTCCTAAGTACTGGGCTTATAATAACACGTAAAAAAATTGAGTATACAGTACGTAGACTGAGGTGATCCCTTACCATAAAAATAATACAAAATCTCCAAAGAGTTTAGGGCAATGTCATATCATAACAGAAAATTATGTTTACATATTTTAGTAAATTCTAAAAGTTTGTGTGGAATAATTTGATGTGATTTAAATAAAAGATTATTAATTTATGATTACGTTGTATAACAATACAATGTAGTACAAATATTCTAATAAACATATCTTTTGAAATTCAATATTAAATTAATGATCATTAAGCAATACTAAAAATGTTTTATGAAGTTTCTAAGTTCAATTTTACCGTCGAAATTACGTGACGAATTAAATTTCATTTCATTTGTTCAAATATTTTTAAACCTTTTTACAGTGATGACTGCATACAACTGTTATTTCTGTTCACATATCTACCCGCAGAGACATTTTTGGGATAACTTTAATAATACTTTGCTATGACTATATACATATCATCCACATATTTCAAAACTTCATGGTAAACATAATTGCTAGATTTTTGTTTGAAAGTTATTTTTTTATCTTAATTGTGAAAAGAAGGTATTGTTCAACTACAAGATTCACTCGGACAAACATAAACACAACACTTCGCATAATTTTAACTGTTTAGATGTCTAAGAAACTACTGAATTAATGAATTAAAAGACCACATAATATGCGCAAATTATGTGTAATATGTCACCGCCATAACTTGACTCTTAAAAAGGATACCAGTACAAAATATATAATCAAATAATAATAAGTACTATATTTTTGTAATAATTTAATATTAACGGAATTAATGTGATTATATAATGACTTCAAATTTAAAAACAATTACCATTAACATATAAGAGTTTCGACTGAGGTTATTTGAGTTTAAATTTGAAACTATTTTTTTTTTATAATGGCAAGATAAAAGAACGAGACACTCGGCCTCCGTTGTGATAATCTCTCTCGGCTCGGATTACCTTTTGTAGAAGGAACAATGAAAAATACAATTTAATTGATAGTATTAAAGTTCATTTTCGTAATGACAATTTTTGAGAGTTATGAGTCCTGACATATTAGTACTACGTCCATGTTATTTTTACGGAACAGGAAAAAGAACAATCATTTAAAAAGTGTTGCTGACCTCCTTTGTAATTTTTAAAACAATAACAAGAAAGCTTGCCTGTCTGGTTAGTGTCGACAGATAAAAAGATCGCATCTCACACGCAGCAACCAGGGGCTCTATTTTTGAATCATTCGTCTCGCGTCGAGCGCTCGTTTTCTACTGATTTTCATTCGACTTAACAAATTCGCCATTTCTAAAACGCTCGACTGCAACGAATGGTATGAACCACTCGTCGCTTAGCGAACGTTGTATGCGAGTGATAGTAGAAAACGAGCGCTCGACGCGAGACGAATGATTCAAAAATAGAGCCCCAGAGCGGTCGTTGACCCGACGTGAGCTACGTCACTGCCTCACGTGTCGTGCTTTGTTCGATCGATGAGGAAAATTGGTGCTGCCATTTTCCCATCGCCACGTAATGTTCGAGTAATGCCGATCACAAAATATAGATAATCTTACAACGTAACGAAAGGGATTTGGATGTTTTAGCTATTATTCCATCGATTCCCTTTTTTTTATCGTATTGTAAACTTTGTTGACTTATGCCTTCGAAACGTGACGTTCTAGAATGTTTCGTGTAATAGCTTTAATGTTTCTATTGTTAGTGTTCTTGATTCAGATAAGTGATTGATTAAAAGCCGCCAATTAAAATAAGTTGTTTATGCTTTAGTAGGAGTCTCCTACTAGGAGAATGAAGCTTCATACTTTAGGTTCCCTACCTCAAAGGGAAAATAACAGGACAATTGTAAAATCACCTTGTTATCTGTCTGTCTACCAAGACTTAATTTCGGAAATTAATACACACTCGAGTACTCCTTACTCCGTGAAGCTATGAAAATATATATAAAAAAAAATATGATTGTTTGTACCGCAAAAAAGTATATTCTCTACCTATTAAGTACGTATTTCCCGTTTGTTCAGTTCTCAATTTTCAATAACATTTTTATCTATACAAATAATACTGAAAAGTACTTATTAGTAATCACTACCAAATTATCTGTTACATCATTCACGGAAATATAAAAATAAACGACTCTTATTTATCAGCAAACACTAACGACCAAGTAGGTATTAATAACAATACAATACATATGTTTAGAATTTAAATAATTTCCATTATGGAAGTTAATACCGTATTAATTATGTATAAACCTTCAAAAGTAGCTACTGTCTTTTTTTACAAATTAAAATCAAGATAGCAAGACAAACATACATTTTTATTTAATGACGACCTCAAATGCCTCTATTTTTGAAATGTAGTACGAAGCGATAATGAACAGCGCAGATAAAAGAAAGCAAATTTTAGTTTGCAACGTTATATTGGCAATATCAATTCTAAATTCGATTTATTTCGTAGCCTTTATATTATGTCTACGATAGATGACGTCTCCTCAGTCTACGATTTCGTAGTCACAATAGGTATACATAACGTAGCTACACATATTATCCTCTCTACATAGTACATAATATAACAATTATTGTTCTAAAGCTGATATAGTATCTAGCTCTACGTATCGCCCACTACACTAGATGCTTGTTACCTTTTCGAACAGCATATAGCTAAAAGTTTTCCTTCGACTCAGACAAATACGGACGGTATAGAATTATTTGCAAATCTACGGATGTTAAAACTTAAAAATTTAATTTCCAAGAACTTTTGCTTTTCAAACTAATGGACGTTTATGCGTCCACTAGTTTGCAAAGCATCAAGCAGGCTGACGCCCCACACAGGACATGGCTAACTTAACCAGTCCCATATGTGACATCAGATGCATGGCACATCCTATCGTTGTATATGTTCAATGAATTTTTAATAAAGATCTATGACCTTTGTGAAAATGTCTTAATTTATTTTGTAGACACGTTGACTTTCCCTTCGAAAACGGTACAGTTTGGATTATCGATTCGATTACCTATACAGATAATAGAGTTCGCTGCCTTGTTTTGCGAAATGTTACGTAGAAGCTTTCGCTCGGTGCACCGCACGTTGTCGGCCACGCGTTCATATTTTTGTTGTGTTCTCATATTGGTTCTGTAATGTTCCGAACACACGCCGTCATAACGTGACTATGTATGAGCGTGTGTTTATTTTGTTTTACAAACGGAAGCCTATTTACCTACTTAATGTAGAATACATTGTCTACAGTTTCAATTTACTCCATAATTACCGTTTTAATGTTATAAAATTAATTAATAAATAAAGAAAAATTAGATAACTCCTCATATAGTGCTCAGGTCTATGATATGAGTAGTTTAAGCTGTTACGGAGTATCTGAGATAACGAAACGAACCGCGACTAGATCCAGAAACAATGTAGAAGAGTTAATTTTCTACAGTAACCTAGCTGGAAATCGAACCCGAGCCTTGGAAATGGCAGTACCTTGAAACCGTGCGAATCACTCCGGAGGTATATTTTTTCTATACAGTATATATTTAAAAAAACCAGAAGAAAACTTACCAATTTTAGGAGGAAAAAATAGTGATTTAATTTTTTCTTTTCTTTAATAGTAGATTCGTCAGTTGCCATTATTTTAGAGCGATATTACCCCATACAAATTCGACATACATTAGAGCTTAAGGGCGTCATTAAACCTTAATGGACGTTTATGCAACTGAACGATTATCTTAAAGATTAATATTTCTTAATATCGAAGTGATTTTGTATTCCAATTGTTTTCTCAACTCTTACAATTTTGAATAATTAATTAATTTGAGAGCATTCAAATTCATGTGTCTTTAACTATCTTGATCATTCTTAGCACAAGCTGAACAAATAAAACATAGGTAAATAATTCAACACAATGAAAATAATTCTGTTTTAATATTTCTGTGGGTATAATTAAATTCAATATTCGTCACATTATTAGGCTGTTCTTTATATTTTTAAAGATTTCATATCTCTTTCGGATAACACTGAAATAACGTAATGGTAATCGTGCATAAAATATTTTAATAAGTCCTATTTGTTAACTTGTAATTATTTTATTATAATTACAATTTTATATTGGTAACGTGATGAGAAATAAATCGGCCTATAAATCTATCTATAGCTTTACACCGAATATCTTACGGGGTCGGCAAAGGGGACAAGAGTAATTATATAAATACCAAACTTAATTTTTTTGTTGCAGGTTCTAAAATTACTCGGCTCCGTGAAGCGAGACGCATACAAAGAATGCAGAGATCCTCGTCGCCATCATCCAGCGATGAGTCCAATCATCCCCCCTGCCCTCCAACAGTGGACAAAGTTGCCCAGAAACTGGTCATCCTCGAACTTGCGAAGAAAACTATCACACTGATGCAAAAGAATCAGTTGATCCAACAGAAAATTGTGGCGCTACAAAAAGAGACGTCGGAATTTGTAGCGGCCGTTATGAAGAATCCTGAAAATAGGAGAAGGTATTATGAACACCTCATGTTGTATGGAATACCGCAACGGTTCCAGTTACAGATAACAACTGAAAACATGTCCACAATCAAAGTTGAACCTACCACATAAATACTACACAGTCATATGTTACAAACTACGGTACAGGAAGATACAACTAATGTGACTCACTGATGTACCAGCTATTACGAAACGCGACAAATGTTGGCCAATCAGAGCGATTCAAATATCAAACCATCGGGCCACCCACCAATATCCACGCACCTGGCCCCTGCTGAGGGAATGAGATGGACACCACCTTATGGTTATTCACTACAACGCGCGTTCGTTGAAATTGGTACAATTTCTCTGGGCAGGCAAAGATTCATCACGCATTATATTAGTTGGAACTCACTGTAACTATGTGTGGTACATTATCTAAATTCAGAATGTCATCGTCTGTATGTGATTTAGTTTATGTGGGATTTTGTTCTTATTCTAGACTTTGTTTATGTGAAATTAATTTATGGACATAACGCATTCCTACGATGTGAAGTATAAGTTAGGAAAGTTAATTACTTTTATTGTGTTGTACATAATTATTTTAAGGCGGAATTTGATTCGATTTCATTATGCATGATGCCTTCTACTTGTTTGTATCATCTATGAATTGATATGCTTCTACAATCTAAGTATATCGTAATTAAGTCATATTTACTTATAATGAAAAAAATAATTTGAAAACATAAATATAAAAAGATCTCGACTGTCTCTTGTAAATAGTTATTTATAGTTTATAAGGGGATATTTTGCCTTTTGATTGACTTAGCTCTTTAGGTATTAGGTGGAACTACTTTTTCATGACAAGGTTTATGAAAATATAGCCTTGATTATTAAAATTTAGGTACAAACTTACTTAAAAAATTGAGAGTTGTCACTCGGTGAATCTGGGATCCTAACATGAACTCTTTAAGGCAAAAGAATTTCCAAACGACCGCCACATTTTAACACGTATTGCATATATTTTGACAAATATGAATTTCACAACAAAAAGTCGCGAAATATTAAAAAAATGCCTCTGATAAATTAATAAATGTGTGACGCACAATATTAACGTATATCGTAATAAGATTTATACAATAAAAAATAGTTTGCGAGTAATTAATCGAAAGTATTCGAATTATTGCTTTACGCTTCTTCTGCAAGAGGTCACGATAAGACCCCAGATGACTCTTAAAACGTCCTTGATACTTTATTCACAGGAGGTTTTTATAAGGTGTAACTTTCAATAGTCGTCATAAAGCCAATAATTTAAAATGCTGTGTCTTACGTGAAAATGTTGTGGTAATGTTAGGTATTTGCTATAACGAGGTAGGTATATTGTAAGCAGAATTGGGCGTAATCTATATTATTTTTGTAATTAAATTACAAATTTGATTTCAGTAATCTAGATCAGAGGTTGCCAAGCAATTTTTTCTCGTAGACCTCCCGCTGCTACATTTTTACCATATTCCCAAAACTCGTCGAAAATGTGAAGATCTAACGATGGTCCAACCTTAAATTCGCCTCTTCTATTTTTATTTCACACCAAAGTAGACCTCCGTTGAATCGCTCGTGGACCCCTGGGGGTCCACCTGGACCACTTAGGGAATCATTGATCTAGATTATATACAGTCAAGATTACGCGTGTAACCACTAATATTGATTTAATACTAATCTTTATTAATGGTTTCAATTGAATTACTTTTAGTACAGAATTTAAATGTAGTCTTAAATCATCGTTGCTAATTAACGAAAGGATTCCTAATAACCTTTTTTATATTAATGAGTCACTGTAACCATATGGTTACATCCGAGGAGAATCTAAGAATTTTGAGGTTCCGGGTTCATTTTCTTGTATAATATACCTAAAGGATTTTGATGGCGAATTTCTACGGAAACATCTGTTCTTTACCTATGATTTTTACACTAAATGATATTGTTTATAATCATTAATTATGAAACTAATTACCTACTTTCATTAATATGTTATCATGATTAAAGGTTGCATTTGTAAACTGTCTAAGTCTGTAACCTGTTTTATATTTTACCCATCTCTGAATTGTAAGAGGCTGTTGTAGATAAGAACAAGATCTTCGTACAATTTAATTTATTTTCGTAATCACAGTGTTACTGTGATGTTATTATTTATATTAAGGTTGATTCTAAGATTATGTGATCATAAACTAAGCGTTTAAGGCTGCGATAATATCTAGCCCGCGCCACGTGTAGCCACGCGTGTCGTCAATTTCTTAAAATTTAGTTCCACGACAAGTAGAACGGAGCTAATGTAATCAGTCTCATACTAAATATGACCAAAATGGATTCCTTAAACCACACCTAGCGACACATGACGCGGTCTAGTCATTAACGTTGATGCAAATTTTTAAAGAAAAATAAATATCTAGAAATGTAAACATTAATTGTATAAGTTATTAATTGCTTTATAATATTTTAATGACTGATATCTTTATAGGTAATTGTATCGTTGCCTATGTATTAATGTAGTTTTTATCATAACATTTTTGCAAAATATAAGGTTATAATATTATATGTAAGATTGAATTGTTCAATACTCTTAAACAACAAAAAATAATCGTCTATATTTTTCTTACATAGATTGACAGATTTTTATTTATTTTAGCATGTATTTGAGCCAGCAAAGACACAAATGTCATGTCATAGTTCAAAAATATATCAAAATAAAAAATAATGCTGTTCAAAGTTTCAGTTATCTATCATTTGTTTAATTAAGGGTTGTGTCTCACAATGTGTGGTCTTGACAATAAATAATAAAATATTGGAACAAAAAGTTTGACAAAGAACGCACATTGCGAAGAAAAGAAAAGTAAAAATAATCGAAAGTAATCAAAAAACTAAAAATATAAAAACGAATTTTCAAAATCCCACTTGTGGAGATTTATGTGCAATAAAGTTTATCTTAAAGCGTCTTAAAACAGATGCATGTAGTGACCATTTTTTATATTTACTACAAAATAGACACTGAGTTTAGAAATACATTAAAACTCTCAAACTTTAGAATACATTATCACAACAACGCTTATATTTAACGCATTTAATAGGTTAAATTAAAATGAGGTCTTACGTCACGGAGTCATACACTAGTTTAATATTTATTTTATCTGTGGATTAAGTTTTTTTTACCTTAATGCAGAGGAAGAAATTAAATTTAGACATTGAAAATAACTACATCCAGAGCACTAAAGCAAACGAAATCTATGGATTAATATAGGTAATGGACACGAAGAGCACGTGTCTTTAAAAATATTTATAGATAATTTTATTTTATGAAATAAATAACAGAATTATAACTATATATGATGCCATTATGTTAATTTTGACAGCAAAAACGAATGAAATCGTGACGAATGACCATAATCACAGATCTACCATAAACTGTGTTCATTAGCGACGTGTATCATAAAATTTCTGTATGATCACAAAATTACTACAACTTTGTTATGTATAATTTGAGTGTGTTCATTTTCGTATGTTTTTAATTGGTATTGTATATGTTTCATAAAAAAGCCGTAGTTAATATCTTGAATTTCGTTTTATAGGAATATAATTAAATATCTAGTTTACTTATAGGTATACGAAATGAGGTATTATCTATCTTCTTTCAACTATTGCCGTATTGTATATCTATTACATAAATTTCTCTCAGCATAACTAAATTGAAAGTACTTACGCGAAATAAATCCAACCTCATACTATTTTCGAAAAAATCTCTATCATTAAAAATTATTTTATTTAATTTTAACGTACTTATATTTAATACCTAGTTTTTTCCGAAATCAACCTAAAAATAGTTATCGAAATCATTGAATATGAAAAAAACTGTTGGTTGGACATATTTCGTACCTTCTATTTGCTACCTCCGAATATTTATTGCACAAGATCGATCTATGATTGAATATATAAAACATCTTGTGGTTTTAGCTGATAAGATTGTATTTTTTTTTTAAATAAACTAGTCCATCTTCATTACATAAACTATTTTATTGAAAACAAAAAACTACCTATATTCATTTTTGATGAGCATACTCGTATACCAAAAAAATTTTAATACCCGTTGAACATAGAACTTCCTTCTTTTCGATTTTATAGTCTGTAAAAATGACCAAAATATCACCAAGCACAAAGGAAGTTTCTTATAATGCCATGCTTTTTTTTTTATTTGTCTGATTATACAATTCTGATCATCTTTTTTACGAAAAGCTTGATAGTGCAGAGGTTCAGTTTGCGATACGAAACTTATAGTAACTTTTACAAGGGTCACTCATAGGATGAGTGACCAAAAATTTACTAACTTGAGCTTCTCCACGCTTCTGAAAATACGTTAAGCCGTTGGTCTCGCAGCATCTGTAGTTGTTAATACCCATCAATCACGGGCCCACGAGTCATGACCCATTCTCCCTATTCGATTCTGTCCGTTGGAAAAGCCTGTTCCCCAATAGTGGGTAGATTAACAAACTAATGACAATGTTCTACTTGCATACAACAAAACTCCCTCTAACAATCTGAGTTCTTAAGAGAGAGATAGAGAGTAACAAAATATACTTTGCAACACTTCATTAGCCTAATTATTTATTAATAAGAGTTACAAAAAGACAACGTTCCATAATAACCCACTAGTGGGTGTTAATGGCATCGGCGCTTTGGTTATTAATGGATTAAAGCATGATTATAATAAAATCATGATCACTTTTCATATGATTGACGACTAATGGAAAAGTAAACCTCCGCAAAGGGAGATCCTAGGAACAAATATTCAAATAAATAAACTAAGGGAATTATTACTTATTTTGAATCACAAAAGAATACTAAATTCACTTCTTATAAAATGCATGATTTGATACATTTTGGTATGTATGATGTTTTTTAATCAAATTCAAATCGTATGTACGTATGCTTACATTCCAAAATAAGTAGCTAAAATCCTCATGTTATGGAATATCTGAAAAATATAAAGAACCTCACTGAGACCCGAGACATTTGTACATTTCATTTTTAATTTGATTCGACCACGGATCCATACCTTTATAAAAGTGGTAACACTGCCTATAGAGCACCCGTGTCGTCAAAATTAATTACATTTGTGATTTTTTAACAAATACATACAGTGAATTCATTGAAGAGAATTGCAATGCCATATTGTTCTGCTGTACTGATATCCAAAGAATTTGTTAAGGCTGACTTCATTATCCCCGCTTCATATTTTTGGCGTCAGTCCCCTCCCCCCGCCACCCGCGCCAGCACAACTGTCGCCGTGTAAATGCCGAAGTCAGTCGCTGCCGCTCTATTGAGTGGGGACTAGACCTGTGTCAATTGATCATTTTTCAGAACCCGGGGCGATCATGACCCACCTGCCTAGTGATCGGGTTAGAATAACTCGATCTTTTTGATCATTTGGGTCGCAGTTTACTCTGATAGGTCGCACAACAAATTAACTGGAACTCAACTACCCAAGTGATATGCAGTGGTCGGAATTAGGTAGAGTTATTCATGTACTTACACTGATTTCATACAGCGAAAGAATAAAGTGGATATGCCTCAAATCCAGAGATTAATTTTAAAGAGCAGAAAAAATCCCGTGTTTTTTTAAATAAAAAGTTATTTACTTTTACACAATTTAAACTACTGCACGCACGACGTTGCCAAACTTACATCAATGACATCGGATGTCCAAAGTTACAAAATACCAATACGCGCGATGTTGCCACGAAGGTCCACATTAATATCAACATTTCGATGCAATTACATAAATAACTCTACCTAATTCCGACCTCTGGTGATATGCTATGCTGAACAGGTTATGCTGCATAATACAACTTTTTAATTATTTTGGCTAATTATTTGAAAAAAATATATACGAAATAATAGATTGGCGTTGGGAATCATAGTTCTTACATAAGGCGGAAAAATTGAAATTTCCGTGTTTTTATTGATTTTTACCGTTTTTGAAACAATATTTCCAAATACTTAAAGTGATTCGCAAAGTCGCGAAAAAGAGTAAGAGCGAACAAACACGACTAGTAAGTAAACGAAAGAGATAGATATATTGAATCACCTTCGCAGAAGACTCGATCATTTTGTTTGCGAGCAATCAGTTACATACAGTAACGCTATTATATAATAAAGTCCAATTTGGCTTGCGTAGGTAGCGGGTCAAATAATCGAATCTTTTAAAGAACGGTGATTTGATGACTCGTCTACAGTTTAAGATCGATTCGAAACGATTCGATCAATTGCGATCGACACAGGTCTAGTGGGGACCACGCGGCGTCGCACCGCATCACAAAATGACGCGATAACTGAGCGACATGGAAAACTTAAGGCTTATTCACCTATACCACGACAATGAATATCTGTGGGATAATAAATCACAAAATTACAGAAATAAAGAAATGCGTGCAACAGCATTACAGAATATTGCACGAGAAATGAATGTAGAAGGGTTTGGCCCTTCAACGAGTTAAAAATTTTTTTTTTTTGCACTTTACGAATGTGTGTACATCAAAAGAAATATCCCCAACAACAGACGAACAAAACGACAACAATTGACTGAGTGTAAATAGTATGAGTCAGTTTTCGGCGCCAGCACTGACGACAGCTACTGACCCTATGTAGATTTACATTTTTTACCGATTACACCAGAAAACAATAAGTACAATATACCCACATTGATGTGACATTACAAGACTGTCTGCAACATTTCGAATTTACCCTCAAAGTGTAACAATAAAGTTGGCTGGCAGTATTCTAGGGTTGAACCTCTTAAATTTTTCCCGATTTTGGGGCGCAAAAAAAAGGATGAGATACTACTGGATAGGTACTTCACGTTTCCTATTAGGCTAGCTAATATAATATGTCACGCTGATCAAGCAGCCTTCAACTAACCCGTTATTGCTCTGGTGCACTTCGTATTTTGTGCTGGTTTTGCTGTTTTAACCGCAACTTCGCTTAGACTTGCTTTTTACTATTAAAATAAATACAACATAAAATACGCATGCTGTAAATCCACTGCCGATTATGCCTCTGGTTCATCACGTCATGCACCACGTGCAAAATGAATTATCATGTGCCGTGTCTATATAGTCGAGATAAGAGAAGGATCTTCAGCGCTGAACAGAGGTCTTGGCTTTACCATGGATTCATTCAGTGAATCAATAACACTAATTAATTACAATACTCCTGTTAGAACAGGCGCTGAAAATGTAAACGTTCGTAGAGGCGCATCATGTATTGATTCTCTTATCCAACATATTTCTTATAAGGCAGACCCTACAATATTGGAAACTGTCAAAGGATCATAGCCTTAGAAATGGCGGTTATGAGGTCTGAATTACGTTCGGCTATTACTGAGGTAATTTCTAGGGAGGTCAAACCCATTATTGAGGAGATCGCCTCGATTAGGGATCCCATAAGAAGAAAGTGAGCGGTCTTGACAAGGATAGCAAGTGGAATTTCAAATTAGAAATTGGAAATATTAGAAAATCAATGGCTGTCACTTAAGCGTACATCAACGAACAGGAACAGTGGGCTCGACATTCAAATGTGAAAATTTTTGGTATCTCGGAAAAAAAGGAAAAAAATTAAAACAAATTTTAAGGGATATTTCCAATAAAGCAAAATTTCCGCTAGATCTAGTGCTAATAAATCTTTATTGCAGCGTGTCAAGTCACTATGAACTATAAAGAAATAAAGCGTAGGTCGGTCGGCCAAGAAAGTGGTCTACCAGTTTTGACAACATTTCCCGTGTCTTTAAAGCATCGCTAAAGGCGAATCTTAGAATTGCATACAAACAATAAAAGAGATGCACAATGCTGACGTGTTGTCGTAGAGCACAAATGTTATTTTGACCTTTGCAGCCTATGCATTAGATAATAATTTGCAACAACAAATAGTCTTCACAATATTTCATAAATTTAAAATTGAAGTAGGTCACTTTAAAGTGGAAACTATTTTGTTACGAAAACTCTTTTACTGAAAAAAAATATATCACTTGACAATTCATGTCAAATATTTTCTCAGCATTTTCCGTAGGTATTTTCCGAATCAACATCGATAATTCAACAATAAATATTCATCGCCATCTTTCATTCATTTCATATTCAAAGAAATGAATGAAAGATGGCGATATAGAAATTTATTTATTCACTTGACATTGGCAGAATTGTGCGCAATGCGCAGATAAGCCATTAATAAAAGAAGAAGAAGAAGTAGGTATTTTCCTAATTAATTTACACTACAATGCCCCGAAATTTATCCATTAACGAAAGAGCACAAATAATCGCATTACACAATGATGGTTTGAATATTAGTGAGATTTCTAGAGAATTAAATGTGTCGGTAAGTATTATTATGTCTGACGTGAGTTTAATGTAAAATCTCAGACCAAGTCCGAGTGTAAAAATTTTTGTTTTATTTTTTCTGTTCATATTAGAATTGCATACAATTTATTTTTGATTATAGAGACAAGCTGTCCGTCTTTGGATAAGACGAGAAAGCGAGGAGGGGAATTTGAACGCTCGGAGTCGTAGCGGTCGTAGACCTGAAATATCAGATACTCAGCGAGTCTTCATGAGACGGAGTTATAAGGAATCTGGCTTTATACCAACGCGTTATTTTGCCGACATATTTGACGTGACTCTCCAAACCATTAGAAACCATTTACATTACATGGGCTTACATCACAGGCGTTATGCAAAGAAAATTTATATGACTGACGCTCATAGAATGGCCAGATTAAATTTCGCCATAGAATATTTGGATTTTGATTGGAGTAATACTGTTTTCTGTGACGAGAAAACTTTTAAATCCAGTCAACACGGGCGTCCACACCTTTGGCGATTCAATAAAACGCGATACACGCAAAATCATGTCGTGTCAAATAGAGAATCGGGTCGTATCTCGGTAAATTTGTATGGATGGATGACTGCTGATGGTGTTGGAGACTTGACCTTTTTGCCACCACGAGCAACGGCATCAGATTATGTTGATATTCTCCAAAATGCTATGTTGCCATCCGTCCGGAACGTTTATCCAGAAAATGAAATGCGTTTATTTAATTATTTACAGGATAACTGTCCCTTACATAAAGCAAGGGTAACACGTGCTTGGTTTGATGCACATCCGGAAATAAACTTGATACCATGGCCTGCAAAATCGCCAGATCTCAACCCTATTGAAAATATGTGGGGTCTTATGGTTCAGAGATGGTGTAACCGTAATGAACGAACAGCAGAAGCACTACAAGGGTATATATTTTTTAACAAGCAAAGAATTAGCATTTTCACTATCTCTTCTAGTTTTAGCCCTTGTCTCGCACTAAGCTATGGGTCGGCGAATATGTTTTTCGTCGCTATTCATTTCTGTTATCCGTTATCTCAGTATATTTAGACCCATAACACGCATAGCTTCTTACGCATAGTATTTTTATTTGTATTAAAATATAATTAATCTACATTCTAATGTAGGATTTGTATTAAAATATAATTAATCTACATTCTAATGTAGGATATTTGTAGACTATAAGACTTTATTTACGATATTCTAACTCTAAAGTATTTAAACATTCAAACAGACAGACAGAAAAAAAAATATTTTTGGCTTCTATTAGTCTTATGAAGGCCGTCCATATATTTTTTTTCAAAATATCTTACAAATGTAACCTTGTTACATTTTTATTATAGGTATAGATAATTACTGTCAAAGGTTACGTCAAAATGATGAAGATAGCAATAATGAGGTGTACTTGACGTGTCAAAAAATTAATGCTACGGAAAATCAACCTTGTTGTTGGTTGACGTAACACGCGAAATTCAACCTTAGGGTGGTAGACCACTTTCTTGGCCGACTGTACATGTACATATGGGTTAAAAATGAGCCGCTCGGATATATCACCAGTTATACACAGTTATACAATCAAACAAGATCAAATCAGATTTCTTTTAAAATGAGGAAGTATTTAAAAAAATAACTCAATCATGGAGGTTTTACTACAGCCAAGGACAAAATGAACGAGTCTTCGCTTTAAACCTGGAATTATTATGAAAACTAAAAAAAAAAAAACTATTAAATATTCTAGGACATCTATTGAAGAGTAGTAACACTTTACAATAATAGACGTCATAGCCAAGTTGATTCACTGACATCTAGTATTGAATAGAATTACTAATGTTGACATCCATGGACTAACAGGGCTTGGTCTTTACCTTGTTATCCATTGTTTAAAAAATAAATAGTCATTTGTCGATTTTTTTTTTGTATCATTGCCATAATGTATGATTGAATTGAAAAAGTATATTACAAAAGTTGTATGAAAAACTGCAAAAAAAGAAAATAGTGAGGATTTCAATACCTGAGAAATGAAAGCATTAATACAACGTGTTATGAACGCTAATGTAGCGGGTATGTTCATTTTAATGTGATCGATTAAAATGCTAACCTATGTTAATTTAACAGGCTGTTTAAGTTAATTTAATTATTACTGAATTTAAATGGTACCTACTAAAACATAACTATTTACAAAGCAATTAATGTGTAAATCAAACGCAAACTAACTTTTAGAACTTACTTAATCCAAACTAAGAATATAGCGAAAAAACGATTAAACTATACATATTTTAACAGTTAAGTTACTGAAAGAAAGGGCCAGTTTATTTTTAACAGCTCTAATTTGTGAACTATTCAAGTTTGCTTTTTTTCGTGCTTTTAATTACCAATATTATTAGATCAAAACGATAAAACGATGGTCAGACCAAAGTGAATATTGGTTTTGCCTACAGCTAATAAACAGCTGTAATAAATATACAATGAAGCTTGCAAATGACATAAATGTAAAAAAATACAAAAAATTTACTACTCACATCCATTAAAACAGTTTAAAGGTTGTTTATAAAATTAATAAGCAGTTTTCTATTATTTTACAGTGAATGGCGAAATTATAAGCAGTATTGATCAAGGATTATGTGTGCTCATTGGAATATCTAGAAATGATACTGTGAAAGATATTGAATATATGTAAGTAGTGAAAAATAATTCCTTTTTCATATTATTTACTATGTTTAAAATTAGCTGCAGAAATTGTTTTATGTTTTAATAATCTGCATATTACACATGTAAAAAAATTGTTATTTTTAAACAAAAACTGTGATTTCTCTACTTTATTCCTGTGTAACTCTAAAATATAATGTATATCTTTTTGTTATAGTGTACGAAAACTTTTGAGCATTAGACTGTTTGATGATGACTCCAATGCAAAATGGAAGAAGAATGTTGTTGAAAAAGGCTATGAACTACTGTGTGTTAGTCAGTTCACTCTCTATAATACATGGAAGGTTTGTAGATATTATTTACATAATAAGGATTGACACACATCTAAAGAGGGATGCATTCTGTGTCATATTGGTCACAAAATGTTTTTTAACCTTGACCTCTTACTTTAGTTGTAAAAACAAAGAATCGTGTCCACTTATTTTTTAAAGGATATGATTGTCCACCATTAGCATTAATTTAAAGTTTTTACTTAAAATAGAATAATATCTTAGCATCTTTTTATTTGGAGGCCAGGGAGATTCGTAATTTGTAAATAATATTTTGAGGTTCAATAGCTGTCAAAACGTGAGAGAATTGAGAAGCTACTTTAAAAATTAATACAATAGAATCAAAGCTTTTCATTGCTTGATATGTAAAATATGGAAATAATAAAATAAAAAAAAATAATGAATGTACACTTTTTAAGCTTATGATGAAAGAATATTTTTCCTTAGAAGATGAAACAAAACATAGCAAATCGTCATTGGGTACTAATCACATTGCCCTAGTGAAGCAAACTGTCATTTTAGGGTCTAAATCTAAAATGAAGGTTTGCTATATGGCTGATAATTAATTTTAAATAGTACTACTTTTATATTTAAAAATAATTATCATTTTAAGATTCAATTTCCTGATATAAAATAAGTGTTACTCTGTAAATGCTGTAATACAAATGCATCTCAACTACATTTATTCTACTTTCATGCTCTCTCTGACATATTCATTTCATGCTTCCATACATTTAATCAATTCAGTAAAAAAAAATTAAGGTGTCAAAATCAACACAGAGTTCACAAAAAGGGAGATTGCTGGTAGTGCTGCTTTCTGGTTTATATTATGTAGTCAACAGCATGTCATGTCATATAAGACAGACAATTTTTTCAGACTCAATTTTAAACTTTAGTACATTGAAGATCCATCCATTGCTGAAATTTGACATATTTTTGTAGCCTGTCCTGCAGCTATGTATTTAGGACTTAAAGATATAGCTGTTAAGTATAAGCTTTATCTTTAAGTTTTTATGTAAATTGAAATTTATCAAAAATTATAGATTCAGTCCCTTCATTGTGATGGATAATACTGTACTTCTGTATTGACTTTTATAAATGCAATTCTACAATACTATATGATGAAGAAATTGGTGCCTATTACTGACTTTGTTTTGAATTACAGGGAAATAAACCTGACTTCCACAATGCAATGTCGGCAGATAAATCCAAAGAGTTCTATGAAAAATTTCTTCAAATGCTGAAAGACACTTATGAACCTGATAAAATTAAAGGTAAATTAAAATTCTGCTACTTGTAGTTTAGATATGGATAAATCAATGGGACTAGTCTAAAACATAATAATATTTAAATCTCTATTTCGTTGAAGATAAAAAAAAAAGATATGTCTAAATATGATGCTCTTAAAAATATATTTAGTAATAGCTTTTGCCTGCGACTTCGTCCGCCAGGTAATTTCTAACAAATATTTATTTATTTGTTCCTATATGTACTGATAGGATCAAACTAATACATTTACATCCTCCATCATCCCTTATTTTATTCCCATGAGGGTTGAATTTATCAAAATCCTTTCTTAGAAAATGCCTACGTCATAGTAGCTTTATTTTTGCAAAGATTCATAGAATCTTTCATCCCCTATTTTATCCCCTCGGGGATAGAATTTGCCTACGTCATAACATCTACCTGCATGCCAAATTTCAGCTCGATCCGTCTAATGGTTTGGGCTGTGCGTTGATAGATCACTATGTCAGTCAGTCATCTTTGGGTTATATATAATATTTAGATTTACTGCACCCGGAGGTTGGTGACCGATAAAGGACAATGCTCAAAATGTATAATGTAACAACTTTGAAACGGTTTCATTGCGTTTGTATTTTTTAAGCATAGTCCTTTGAAAAAGTTTACTATAAAAAATATGTGTCTTGATAATAATTAACCTACTAAACTATAGAAAAAAAATGACAAATGATTGCAAATATATATAGAAGTCCTGTGCTCAATGGAAACATTATTAAATCTATCTATAATTATTAATCCTCTGTAGCCGAATGATTCCCACGCCGGTTTCAAGGTGTCGCCATCTCTGAGGGCCCGGGTTCGATTCCCGGTCATGTCAATGTAAAAAATTAACTTTTCTATATTGTCTCGGGCTGGGTGTTGGGTACCTTCGTTGTCTTAGATACTCCGTAATAAGGGGGCTTTAGCTACTCATCTTGGAATCTGAGCAATGTATGTTTGTCTTATATATGTTTATGTGTAATCACAATGTGCTACCTCCTTATAGATGGTCAGTTCGGTGCCTATATGCAAGTTTCATTACAAAACGACGGTCCAGTTACATTGGAAATAGAATCTCCATGTACACCAAGTAAAAGTAGGAGCAGAAATGGAGTACAAGAAGTACCTCAAGTTGATCTAAGTAAAGAAGATGACTTCAATTGATAATTTAAGTATAATTATATTTATTGCTTAGTGAATTAATATTTATGTAAATATGATATGATCTCGCAATCTCTTTTGCAATCACTTATTAAAATTGAACACATAACCTATTATATGCATTATTATTTTATCAATATTCAATCAAAGAACAACAAATAAGAAACCTTACAAATATCAGAATGATCTTGATGTTATATAACTACGCAAGTACAAAAAAAATTCTAAGAAATGTCGCTTTTCGAACACAAATAATTTGTAGAGATAATTGTTACCTTGTTTCTGCACTAGATGGCGACAGTTATGTAGGAAGGTAACGGCTATAATCACAGTTGGGCGTATTTGCACAATGTTTCACCCACAATTTTTAGCCTTCCTTAGATGTTTCCACTTTCTTTACACTCTAATGGAATGTATATACTGTTATTTATAGGATAAGTAGAAAAATGTACAATGACATAGTATATGAGCGTCGAAAGAAATTGATATTAATTATACATATAATGCATATTGGATATCCATAGACTTGAGAGTGGTGAATGTTTTTTCAAGCACGTATTTCTTCAAGCACTTTTTCGCTACTGTTGGGATTTTTGTAAAATAAAATTCAACTTGCGTTCGCCATACTTTATTAGTAGAGAGTGAGAGCTTACATTAGCCACAAGGTGGCGCTATTAAGGTTGCGTTCATAAATTATATTCAACATCCCCCCTGAATTTATGATCCCAATAAAAACTTAACAGTAATCATAACACAGTATACACTAATTTAAAAATGCTTTTATACATTTAGGATACTTTAACCACTTGACTTACTTTACTAATACAACACAAGCATCATGCATTACATAGCTTAAATATAAATTTTACTTGACATAAAATAACTTTAATAGAATGTAAGTATTACACTGATATTTGTTTTTAAGTTTCTATAATAACAATGCTAGTCCTATCTTATTACTAGAGATAATAAAAATATGTCATATATGAATTTTGTTTTTTTTTAATTTTATTTTTATTTCATATTATTCTAAGTTCAATTTTTTAATGAAGTATAACTGTTTATCAATAGGTTGGGCTTTTGTAAAAACATCAGCTATATTTTCTGCTGTAGGTACATAATGAACTGAAATTAACTTTTTATTGACTACATCCTTTATAAAATGAGCTTTAATGTCTATATGTTTTGATCGCTTTCCATTGTCACAATTTTCAATTAAATTAATAGTACTTTGATTATCAATGAATAGTTTGGCATTGACATTTAGTTTGGTTAATTCCGATATTAATCCCTTGAGATGGATTAACTCACTTACTGTTTGAGCTGCGGCTAAATATTCAGATTCTGTTGTAGAAAGAGCTACTGAAGTTTGTTTTCTTGAATGCCATGCTATTAAATTACCTGAGTAGTAGATAGCACATCCACTAGTGCTTTTTCTATCTATTCGGTCGGCTGCCCAGTCTGCATCTGAGTAAGCTTCAATTTCTTTAATACTTGACCTTTTATAAACTAGACCCTTATCTATTGTGTCTTTTAAATAACGTAAAATCCTTTTACCTGCTGTCCATAATTCAGACGTTGGCTTTTCAAGAAATCTGCTTAAATATGCAACTGCATATGTTATGTCTGGTCGACTGTTCATAGAAATAAATAATAATGATCCAATCAGTTCTCTGAATGGAACATCAATTAATTGTTTTTCATTTGATATACAGAAGTTTGTAGTCATGGGTGTTTTTACCCCTTTACTTTCTTTTTTTACTAATTTTGTCAAAATCTTGTTTATAATTTCCTTTTGTTTGATTTCTAAGGTATCTGTTTTTCTTGTAATTTCCATACCTAAGTAGTTCTTCATCTCACCTAAATTTTTTACATTAAATTCCTTTTTCAATTCCTCTAATATATCCATCTCATTTCCTAGAATAATTATGTCATCAACATAAATCAGTAACTGAGTTTTGTCCTTTGTATATAAACACACATCATATTTTGATTGTTCAAATCCATGTTTAGTTATGAAATCATGAAAGCATTTACTCCAGCATTTTGGTGCTTCTTTAAGACCATATAAAGCCTTTTTTAATCTCAATACATTCCCTTCTCGTAATTTTAATCCTTTGGGACATTTAAGGTAAACTTCTTCTTTAAGTGTACCATTTAAGAATGCTGTTGGTACGTCCAATTGCTTTATTTTCAAATTTTCTTGTACAGCTTGACTCAACATAGCACGAATTGTTGACATTCGAGCCACTGGAGAATAATATATTTTGTTTCTTTCATCTTGTTGGTATCCTTTTGCTACAACACGGGCTTTCTTTGAACCATCCTGTTTTTCTCTAAATGTCCACTTTGTATCTATTGCCTTTTTTCCTTTTGGTAGTATTGATTCTTCCCAAGTTTCTAGCTTAGTATGTGCTTTCAATTCCTTATCAATGGCTTCTTTCCATTCTTTATCCTTTACCGCTTCTTCAAAAGTATTCGGTTCTCCACTTAGTAGACAATATGCTACATTTAATTCATACTCAAAATTTTGAAAATGTTTTGGTGGTACAATCAAGCTCCCTGATCTACTCCTGTGTTCATTTGTTCTTTCTTCAGTTTCTTGTACTTGTCTTTGCATTTCATTTTCAGTATTTTCACCACTTCTGGACTTATGTTCTTTTTCTTTCTGTTTATATTCTATATCTTTCTCTTTTTTATGTATTTTATTTTCTTCATAATCACTGTCTTCATTTTCTGTTTCTTCATAATATTTATTTATCATATTTTCTTCTTTATATTCATTAGCTTTATATTTTATTTGTGTTTCGTCAAATTTTACATCTCTAGATATTTTAATTTCATTTTCCATTGGATCCCATAGTCTATATCCATTTCTTGCATATCCCACAAATCTCATTTCTATTGCTCTCTTATCAAATTTCCCTTCTTTAGGTACTTGTGTGACCCATACTTTCGATCCAAAAACTTTGATTTGATAAGTTAACATTTCCCTATATAATTTCTGCTGGTAATTTAAAATTGATTGCTGAAGATGGACATCTATTGATTTGATACACTGCACATCTGACAGCTTCACCCCACAAATTTTTTGGCAATCCTGTTTCTATCATAAGAGTCCTCGCTTTATTGTATATTGTTCGGTTCATTCTCTCCGCAATTCCATTAGACTGTGGTGAGTATGGTTGTGTAAATTGATGCTCTGTTCCCTTCTTAAAACAAAAGTCTTGTAAAGTTTTATTTTTGAATTCACCTCCATTGTCACTTCTTATTTTCCTTGTCTTATTTCCTGTTTGTGTTTCACTATGCTGTATATAATTAATAATGTTCCTTGCAGCTTCTGTTTTATTCTTCAACAGGTAAACTACACAAAAGTGACTAAAATCATCAATGATAGTTTGAAAATACCACTCACCATGAATTGTAGAAATATTGACAGGTCCCGCTAGATCTGTATGCAGCAATTCACCAATGTAACTAGATTTCGGTTTATTACTTACCGGTTTAAATGGAAGTCTTGTTGATTTACCTTCCATACAAGGTCCACATGGAATATTTGAAAAAGGTAGTTTCATGATGGCCATATGTTTCCTATTAGCATGACCCAAACGCTTATGCCAAATATCAGAATCTAGATTTGTACTGTAACATGATGATCTACACATTGATGTATTACATATAGTTTTTAAAATATAAAGTTTTCCTTTACATGTACCTTTCAAATAAATATTACTATTTTCTTTATAAATTAATACATTTTCCCTATTAAATCTTACTACATGTCCAGTTTCAACCATACGTTTAACAGATAATAAATTATGTGTCAAGTTTTCAACAATTAAAGTTTCAAAATTTATTTTGTAATCCTTGTGCAACACCCTTTTTATAGGAAATTATACAGTCTCCATTAGCAATTAATATCTTAATAGGTTCATCCAATAAAGTAACTTTTGACATAAATTTTTCATAAGATTGATTAATTAAGTGATGAGTACAACCAGAATCTATAATCCAATCAATAAAGTTAGAATTTTTAAAGTTATTATCATTACAATTACTTGTCATTGCACTTAAAAAAGAAAAATTTTGATCATCGTTACCTATCACTGTACTTGAATAATTGTGATGTCCTCCTCGAGTACCATTTGATCTTCCAGAATTGTGTCCTCCACGGCTTCTGCTAGATTGCTGTGTATAATGTAAATCTTGCCGTCTCCCTGTCCCACTTCTTCTATTATTGAAAGTTCGCCTGCAATTCACTGCTTTGTGACCATTGCGACCACATGTGTAGCATGTTAAAAAAGAGGTATCTTTGTTAGAATCTGACACATCACAGTTTTGTAGTTTTATTTCGGCATCCAATAGTCTCGCTTTGACAAATTCTAAAGACAAAGTTTTTTCTGTAGACATGGTTTCTATAGAGGTTATAACGTTTGCATAGTTGTTTGTCATGGAATGTCATGTTACAATCGCGTTTTGGCATCATCTTTCTCGAAGTTTTTCTTAGGATCCGAAGCCTCCATTTTAGAATCGTTTAATGTGTAACCCACGCCCTTTTCTTCCAAAACGAGTTTTATTCGGAATTTCCAGTTTGCAAAGTTTACATTTGGTGTTAGCTTTGGTAGCACTTCTTTTTCTGACATTTTATCAAAAACTTGCGTAACTATTGCGCAGTGGAAGCGTTTGTTGGGATTTTTGTAAAATAAAATTCAACTTGCGTTCGCCATACTTTATTAGCAGAGAGTGAGAGCTTACATTAGCCATAAGGTGGCGCTGTTAAGGTTGCGTTCATAAATTATATTCAACAGCTACTACAGAGCGTATATTTGTCTATGTTCAGGCAATAAACACAAAAAGCCGAAATAAATATTTTTACAAATAGTTAATCTTTCGATAGAGATGAAAATTTGTTTTAATTATTATATTTCATCAATTTTGCATTCATAATGCTACACTGAAAAATATTCTTAATGAATAATGCTTAAAAATGCACTCTGTCCCTCATTCTATTATTAATTCCTCAAATTTGCATATTTCCCCCTTGATGATATGGTGAAGATAATTTATCTTCATGGTGCAATATTATGCCGGCTTTCCTCAGGGTAGGCGTCTTGTCTCCTCTTCTTTTCTCTGTCTTCATTAATTCTATCACACATTCACTATCCTGTTATCTCCAACCTCTACTCTGATGATCTCCAAATCTACACCCAAGCCCCGCTGTCAAACCTTTCTGGTGCGGTAACGGTTACTAATTCTGATCTTTTACATTTAGGTATGTAAATGGAGTAAATCTTTAAACCTCACTGTCAATCCTTCAAAAACGCAATATATCTTATTGGCAGTCCTCACGTCGTTTCGAGGGTTGGTTTTGCACAACTTCCTTTTGTTACTTTTGATGGCACTACTATTCCATATATAAGTACTGTCAAAAATTTGCGGGAAAGAACACAAAGAAAAAAGTGATTGCAACCTATTATAGGCTCAATAATAATAATATAATAATCATTTTATTTGCTTGAAAACATGGTACATAAGGTTCTCATGGTATTATTAAAGTTCAACATGTTTTTGCTTTTATTAACAGCATGCAAATCTTAAAATTAATTAAATGTCATAATTGTCAAAAATTTAATTATACATTATAGAAATTATTTATAATGCGAGCACAATCTTACTAAAGGAATGAAATATTCATTATAACATTTTATTAATATTAAATTATACATATTATATTGATTGTATATCATTATCCAAAAAATATTCATTAATATTATAATAACATTTATCTACTAATAGTTTCGTCAATACATTTTTAAATCGATTGCGAAACTGTTTACCGACAAAGACTAAAATCATACTAGCACAAACTCTCCTACTTTCTATTATTGACTACATTGATGTTTGTTATACTGATCTATTAGAGGAATTCCTTAATAAGCTAGAGTGACTGCAAAATATGTGTATCCGATTTATCTTGAACTTTCGCAAAATTCCTTATATAATATATAATTTATATAAATATTCGCCTGTGCATACTCTTACACTTCTTTATTATATTATTTTCCTATTACTTTTCCCAAACTACCGACTTCCTATTTTATTTCTTTTCCATGTTGTTCGGTTATGGAATTCGTAACCGGAAACTGTTAGGAAGGCTCGCTCTCTGTGATCCTTCATCGCATAATTGAAGAACTGTTTTCTGTCTAATTTGTAAGTGTAACTCACACACCTATACTTTCATTTGTTATTATTATGTTATTGCACATATTCCCCCTGCTTCATCACCTATCTATTTTTTTGATTGCCTGAAACAAGATTGCTGCATAACAATAAAGACGCCATTTGTATACTGTCCTTAAAATTGTTTTTTATTATACCGTTAAAAGTATTTCTCATTATGTTACTTTATAAAATTAGTATAGACAAGATTTGCAGATGATGCCCAGCTATTTTGCAGCTAATAACTGGGTGTCACGACCAACCTATTATAGTTCCCACTGCTGAGGCTCAGGCTTCCCTTTGGATGGAATCGAATAGGAAGAATGGGCCATGATACGTCTCGCGAGTCCAGTGACGATTAATAGGTGTTAACGATTGCAGATGTAGCAGGGACCAACGGCTTAAGGTGCCTTTCGAAGCACGAAGGAGCATAAATAATTTTTTGGTCACCCCTCCTATAACTAAATTCCGAAATTCGTATCGCAGACCGAGCTCTCTAACTACTACGCCATCAAGCTTTTAAGGGTTCTCATAAGTACCTACTTATAAAATATAAAATTATCTCAATATTATTATACCTCGTGTGTTCATAAATTTTGAGAAAAACATTTATTGTACCCTATTTAAAGGCAAATAAATATCTATTCTATTCTATTCTATTTACTGAAAAAAATAAAATAAAATGTTACTGGCTGTTATTTTATTTTTTTACCGATTTTTTGGAATGTTAACTTTTAGTTTAGTTCTATCGCAAATTCATTTGTTTATATTTTCTCGTGATGAATAACTTAATAATAACTTGCAACTGTCCTTTCGCTATTTAAGGTGGGAAAAAAACCAATGCAGATTTTCAGCGAACTGAAAAGTTTTTCCAGTAAGCCGTAACTTCGTCTATTACACAATACAGCGGCACAAAGAGAAAAATTCTCTGCAAGATCGCGAAAGGAGTGGTACGCTCTGTAAAGACGCCGGCGAACATCAAAATCATCCGTTCGCCGAAATCCATGTTGCGCTCAGAAGAAACTCGCTCTGCAGACTAATATTTCGCGTGTTTCAGTGAACAGAATACTGAAATATGATCTTAAGGTAAAGGCCTATAGCCGTAGAAAAGTTCACTTTTTAAACGGTGGTTTTTGTAAGTTACGACGCGAACGTTATCCATTGCTGCTGAGAGAACATGATGCCAGGAAGAGACTCTTCACCGGCGAGAAAATTTTTACTGAGGAAGAAAAGTTCACCCGATAAAACAATAAAGTGTACGCTAAAAGTAACAAGGATGTCCCAGCTTCTGCACTGAATGTCTCGCGCACTCATCATCCGGCTAGTGTCATGGTTTGTTGAGGAGTTTCGTATGATGGTATAACTCCGCTCCATTTCTGCCAACAAAGTGGGTCACCCTGCCTGATACGTTATTTCAAATTAAAGATTGGGTTTTTCAGCAAGACTCGGCGCCATCCCATAAAGCAAAAAGCACCCAAGCTTGGTTGAGGTTGAATATTCCGGCCTTCACCACGACGGACGAATGGCCCTCTTCCAGACACTCTTCCAACCTCAACCCACTGGATTATTCTTTATGGATTGAATTAGAGCTCAGGGCCTGCCGAAAGTCCCACCCAAACTTAGAATCACTGAACCCTTGTTCGAGCGAATCTTTTCCGCTTCCGCTAGAAAATATTCGTGCCGCCATTAATGACTGGCCAAATCGTCTAAGAGCCTGTATTAAAAACAAGAGCTTTCATTTTCAATAAAATATAATTTTATTGTTGTTTATTATATATTTAATGGTTACTGAAAATTTAAGAAACATAAGTTAATGATTAAAAAGTTACGCAATTTTTATTTCGTCTCAAAACTTATGAACACACGAGGTAGTTTTACAGTTGTAGTAGACTGTCGCAAGGTACCAAGTTCGGCAAAATAAAAACATCGATCTAATAAAAAAAAGTTTATTTTGAAATATGGATTATTATCTATTAACAGTTGTTACAATTAGGCCTGTGATTACGCGAATCCATGTTAGGAAGTATTAAAAAAACACATTTTTACAAAGATGATATGGTAATTTTAAGAATGTCACATTCTAAAGACAGAACAAAAACTTATAAAATATTTATTAATCCTAACACACAATTGTCATTCATCCAATATGTTAACAGATAATTTACCAAAATTCAAATCCATCTTTACACTTTTACTCTAAACATGTAGAAAATAAACTAAAAAAAATAATAAAATAAACTTGTATAAAAAAAGAAAATAAATGCATTTCCATATATAAAAAAAAACGTATTCACTTCAATTACGACATTCAAATTCAACAAACCAAATATTTAAAGATATACATATATATATTTTAGATAATAATAATATGTTAGTGTTAATTGTATCAATTAGCCAGTGCCGTATGATTACTATTTCTATACCGTGAACTATATAGATAATATAATCACCCTACGAGATGTAAATTCAAACTTATACAATTCCGATAGTTATAATTTCATTTCACCATCCTTAAAGGCACTTTTCGTTTTGGTATATTGCTGATACATTTCTCACACCTTATTCTCAATATCGATGCGTTAACATAGTTTTAAGTGTGAATGAGTACATTTTCTCGAGTAGGTACTTAAATAAAGATTGTTGATCTGTGCCATCTTAGAATTAGCGTTCCACCAAACGCAGAATAAGATTACAGAGAGCAACAGAACGAAAGTATCTTTACAATTATAGAAATACTATTACAAAAATATCTATAAATCTATTTCTAAATTATTCGAATAAATTGTTACTGGGATAGGCTAAAGATGTAATCAAACAACATGTACCCTCCATTTTAGTGGACGTTGCAGTTTGACAGTGCACGCTGCGTTATTACTATAATTTAAAAGTACTACTACTCGTAATTTAGTAGATTAACAAAATGGTAGTTGAAATAAATGCAAATTTTCAATAACTTTTTTTTAAATATAAATGCCGATAATATTATATTTTAGAATATTAACGGTCCGCGCGCGCCGAAAGTTGAGCGACGACTGAGTTTTTATTGTGACTCCGTCGTCGGGTAGATACGATAAGTGATGGTGGGGGGGATGTGACGTAAGCCTACCAAAGGCCAGATGAGTATCCGCCGGGCGGCACGCGGCTATGGTGCATAATGTGGTTGGTACCATTCACTGACGTCACGGTGTTAATCTGGCCGTTCATCGACTTGTAGCCGTCTCCGGTGATCGGGTTGCCTTCTGAAAATTACAACAAAATCATTACACCACCGAACTGATCATCAATAGAACTGACCTCCGCTACTCGATATCTACCTACTGAAAGTAATGGAAATGATACTCCTATCATGCGTTCTAGTGAATTACTTTCAATTTTATAAAGATAGTTACGACAATGAGAAAAGTCTATAGAAACGAATCATAAGTTAATTAAATTTTTGTTTAACTACAAACATTTGCCATTATTGCTCATAACGTAGGTACTATTATCCTAAATATATCTAGCTACGTAAGAGTAATTGAAGAAAATTAAAACATATAATAACAGTTAACCATTGAACAGTAAGGAAGAGCGTGCGTGGAAGTAAATATGAGAACACAAATTACATAAATTGATTACAATTTGTACAACAAATAGAACACTTTGTAAACAACACAACAAGCATTAACAAATTCAAAAATCTCGTCTTTACAGTATATTCACCAGTATCTACACTATTTTATACCTAATAGTTTACAAAGCGGCAAATTATAAAACTGTAATGGGTGCTCAATTCAAAACTTGAAGGAATCATTTTGTAGATCTTTAAATCGCAAATTATAAACTTATGTTACATAAAGATAACGAAGCAAAAAATTTCATTTGATCATAAAAATATTTCGCATTGAACGGTGCAGTATCAGCATTCCTTCAGTCAATTTGAACACCCACCCATTTCTCTTCGGCGGACATAATCTACATAGTACGTCTTAGGCGTGAAGTCTTCTGCATGCCGATTCAGATCAAAAAGGTATCCTGGAACGTGTTTATGGAATATGGGAGGGAAACCGGTCAACGTGTGCGGTCCGGGAACGACCTCAGTCGGTAGAGGAGTGACGTCAGGAATCGGACCATCCCGCTCGTATTTGAAAAGCGTCGGCGGTGGATTTATATTCGCTATGAGAAATGGATCGACAGGAGCGTCCAAAGTCGGTATAGGGTTGTACTTATAATCGGGTTTAGGTCTGTCGCCAAGAGCCGACGTCATCCCTACGAAAGCGTAAGGAGGCAAAGGGTGATAAGGTATATTGTGATGTTTCGGTTCCAAGTAATGTTGGGCGGGAAACGGTGGCCAATGTCTATCGAGTACCAGTTGAGGAGATAACGAGTCTGGGTCTATGATTGGATGTGTTCTTTCTGGATCGTCGGTTTCGAGACCGAGAAGCGTGTAAGGGGTTTGTCTTACTTTCGGGGTAGGCTTGGTCGTGGATTGAACGTAGTATTGTGCCGGCAGAGGTGGCCAGTCTCGTGTGAAGTATCGGTGAGTGGGTTGCGGGTCTAGTTCGGGGTAAATTGAGTTGACTTCGGGGTAAGGTGTATTGAGTTCGGGGTAAGGTGGGTTGAGTTCGGGGTAAGGTGGGTCTGGGTGGGGGTCGGCACCTCGCAGGCTGGCGGCCGGGTGGCGACGTCGCGGCGGGGGCAACGGCACTCCATCGCCAGTCACTGGATTCCTCTTCGGCGGAGTGTACGAAGCTGACCATTTACAGAACAAACGGTTTTCATTCGTCCTACTTAATATAAGCCTACGCACATTAGGCTTTATTACCTAGTGTCGGGATGACTTTTTCATTACATTAGTCAAAAAAGTTTGACATTAAATCAGCCCTTATTCTTATGAAAATACCAAACCATTGTTAGATGCAAGTTTTTTATTATTTATTCATTTATTTGCACCATCATGCATCAATTTAAAATAAGCATGGTTTATCCCTTATTTTATTAGGCCGAATGTACTGATTGATGAAAGTGTTTGTTAGTTTTATTATGTATCATTTAAAACACTTATTAGTATATGAAGTCAGGTGTCTAGCTTATTAACATTTCAAGCATTGTTTTGTAATTAGTGCTGGTGCCATATTAAACCGTGTACAGGCGACCTCTTCTTTTGCAGAACCTAGAACGGACGCCGTCTGCGTTATTCAGAGTTCTGCGTAAAGATACGTTTAATAAAGACGTAGTTGAATGGATTTCAACCTGAGGAAGATTGACACTTAATATTCAACAACCATAATGGTATTCAATAGTATCATGATTATACAATATGTTAAAGTCATTATTATTGAGTTCGTATTACATATAAGTAGATACCGCAATTCGTTTCTGCTAGTTTATCAATATTCATAACATTCTCAAAATATTTTATACAACATTCTAAAAATGTTTTATACAACATTCTAAGAAAGTTCTTCCTCTAAATTTTCTGTATGTATATTTGAAAACGGCCGAAAAACATAGAATCCATTCAACGGTCCACGTCGTGATCGCCGCCGTCTAGCCAAGTGAGTGAGCGTGCATCGTGCCTACAACGTAACCGACTCACAGTGTTCGACGTTGCTGGCCGTCTCACCTCTGCTGGGGGTGGACATCGCGCTACCGTTCATCTTGGAAGGAGAGTTTGAAGGGCTGGTGCCGTTCATGGCGCCGTCTCCGAATTGAATGTGGCTGCGGATGGTGTCCGTTACCATGGGGGCGACGGAGCCGTGGTGCGAGGACGCCTGGAATGTCACGGAATGGCAAACATTTAGCAAATAAAATTCTGTATATCGGCGACCAAATCTCTTTGTTATGATTTTAAAACTAACGTCTTTAAATTCAAAAGTTTAAAATTAAATTAAAAAAAAATCACAGGCATTTCGCCTTCAATATTAAAGTATACATCATGTTTATTTCAATTGTAGTAAAAACTGTATATTGACAAAAATCAGTTATCAAACTCCAGATATAGTAATGTTAAAGGTATCTTTGTATCAACCAATGGCTATCATTAGAATTGGAAGTTTAAAATATAAACCTAAATATGATTTACCGTACAATAAGCTTTATGATCAATTTTTCCTTAATAAGTCGGATGCAATATCTAATGTAAAATAATAATTAATTATTACAGTTATAATTTAATTTTACTTTTCACTCTTTACTAAACAATACTTGACTAAATCCATATTAGAAAAAACCTTAAGACAGTGATTTTAATGCGTCATATGCTGCAAAAGAATTATACAGAGACCACACCTAGAGTAAATACTATCTACTAACCGAGAACTTTATAAAGCCGGGAATTCACTAAACTGGTATGCCCGCGACATGGTTGCCAAACCTCATTTAGTATAGTGCGGGCATGTCTGGCTAGTGTCGATCCGTCGCAATTTATAGTAACGAGGTCTGGAAGACATATTTGCATACATGCCCGTTTAGTGGATTGCTCGCTTAAAATGAATTCCATAGAATATATACCTGTCCAAAGAGTCTGGAGTGTGTGTCACGCGGGCGGGTAGGTGTGTCACGCACTACACGCGGCTTCGATATACCGTTCTTCACTGGACTGCCACCGTCAACCACGTCCGAACTGAAGATCTCGGCTATGCAGCTTTTCGGGGCATTGGGCACCCTGAAATAGAAAAGAGAATAAGTAAAATTAAGCACGAAATGGAAGTTTAACACGACTATTTTTAAATGTCCTGCAATACCTACATTCAGTTGGAAAGCTTAACAGAAACATAACTTTTATCTCAACTTTATGACTTATCAGGGTTACCTAATTATTAAATGTGTACGGTAGCGAAGATAAAATTACATTAAGTTGCGAATTAAAAACATTAAATCGCAATGATACATTTAGTAAACTTGAATATTGATGTAAATAATTAATACCACTTTTAACCCACTACTTAAAGTTACAGTGGAAATGAAGATTCAGTGTATTTTTTTAATCTAAGAATCGAGTAACGAAATCTTGTGGACAATATTGGTTACTTTATAACTTAGTACCTGATATCCTAAATTAACTGGCGCCCAACATAAAAGTACACTTACATCTACCGTCAATAATAATCATGGAATGGTTTTCTAAAACACCCTTGCAGCAGAATCATTTTAACAATAGAAATTCAATCCTAGGTGTAACAATATAGGAAATGTAATACCATAATGCAAAGAGCTCTAACCCTCGCATGCTTAGATACGTGTGGTCATCATTACCTGTACTACTTCCGTAGGGGAAACGGTCAAAATACCCACAATCCCCTACCCCTTCTGATTTTTTTGTAGGACACGATCATATTTCATTCCGATAAAGAAGTACATATTTTATAGGTAGGTATAATATTTAATATGTCTTGTGTTTAAAAAAATAAGACCGCAGAGGATTTTTTCATTTAATAGAAACATATATAAAGCTGAGCGTAAAAGCAAATGGCTGTCCTTCTCTGTGCCATTGCGCCCAACAATGAGACCGATACTATACCGATACCATTACTATTATTGTAAAAGTGTTTGTATCTTTAACCAAACAAACAAACACTGTGACTTTCATTTTTATCAATTTTCCGTACATGGCAAAAAATGGCAAATATTAAGGTCATCTATACGACTTTTTATATACAGAAAATTTGATAAATTTATTTTTCAGCTTAAAAATATGATATCTCTTTAATTTTTTTTTATTAGAGCTTATTTGTACGTCATTTCTTGTTACAATACCATTAAAAGATGCTCATTTAAACAAACCATCTCCGAACTGTTAGATAATGTACTCAAACCACAATTTCCGATGATATGCGTTTATATCCCATAAACTTTATAATGTTCATTAATATAAATGCAAAACACGGTAATAAGGTCCATGGGTTACTATTTTTATGACATCGTCACTGTAATGAATTAAGCCTCGCGTCTGATACAACATTAGATGAGAAAAATCTTGATACCATAACATCGGGATCTTAGAAATGTTCTCAACATTAACATAATAAGAATGTTAATATATTCATTTGAAATCATGGGATCTTTAATGGAAAGGATTCCCAGTTTCATTTTAGCCAATACTGACGATTATGTAAGTATATAAAAGTGATTTTCTATAAGCATAATAATGAGTACTTGTTTATAAGGCATAAGGCAATGTTTAGATACTTATGACAGTAGAAATTATATTAAAGTATTGATTAAGTCGGAATCACAGCAAATATTTGCAATCTATGTTATTCAACAAATTTAAAAAAAATAATGATGCGTCGTTTTTTTTAATGTTGGCATTATATTCTGTAATAAATTCCTCAGAAAAATGCTAGATCATTAAAAGTTAATTAATCTGCACAGCCCTTTTGATCTTTTACAACGAAATGGAAAGGATTCCTCAGCGTGGGGAGTTAAATCAATAGAGCTCCAAGTATGGTTCGGCCGGGGTTGCCAACATTTTTTTATTCAGAAAACAAAAACAGAGTATTTATAGATAGAGTACAAAATAAAAGTTAAACTTAATTCATAATGACACACCCTTTCATACCCTTTTCAAATAGAACGGATCAATAGGACCTCAAGCATGGCTAGGGTTGGGTTGCCAATCTTTATTTTTTTTTTTAAATCAATATTATAAAGAGCAAAGGTTAAAGTTTAAAATTGTCAACCTTGTGTTTAATATTTTTAATGTAAATGAAAATCTATTTCGGAAAGTACCCTGCCCTTTCAGATAAAATATAGTTAGATAACTAGTTTTGTTTACCTTATTTGAGTAACTACATGTTACGCTTATAGTTTCCAAATATGTTAATGTTATAATCGTTATGTTTTTCGACAACGTGATTTAAAAATAGACAAATTCGAGCCAACAAAAAAGGGACCGATTATCATATTCCGTTCTCAAAGAAGAATAGACTACTACTTAACAATTATAACACATAATATCGTATTTTTATAGAAAACAGACATCAAAACTCCCACCACCATAAATAATCCTTGACAGGTGAAATAACAAAACCAATTTCGTCCACCGGATAGGGCCCTAATACAACCACATTAAGTTCTGTTTACTTAATTTTAGGTAAACAGAATACACTGACTTTTTAATGATTAGTGGCTAAGTCACAACCACATTTATGATACAATCATTTTATATAAAAAAACATAGCAGAAAATAAGCCGTTGGAGAGGTTAAAACAGACCTGTCATTATAGCTTATGCAAAGTATTTTGCGCGGAGAAATAGACTTCGAACGGCTGCGAATTGCACATACATTAAAATAACACATTGGTTATATTTTAAAGATCATCTGCTTCTAGATAGGTAAAGTTGGTGTTGGATAGGCAGAATCTTTATTAGAATGTCTAAAATATTATATCCTTATAAAACCTTTTCTCAACATACTTTAACAACCAACCACTGAATACCTAGTTGAAATCGATAGAAAAAACGGCGCGTGCGCCGCGTAGCCCGCCTCGACCGCACGTCGCCAGAGGGTTCTGCTGGCGGGAAAATTATCCGTCATCAAGACGATTCTAGAGCCAATACCGCTGATTTTATAGCTACTTTACGTGCAGTGCATTACATTTGAAATGCTTTGCAATTTAAATCTATAATAACCGTACAAATAGGTACATGTATATTGATTGATGACAGATAATATGACTTTGTCATCCCGTACCAATATGGCCGGTTACTTTTATTAAACTGACATGTGTCTGAATTCTTTTCTTTTACCATTAGTTAGTTAGGCACGTTTATCATTCGTTTTATTTATTTGTTATTTCTAAAGTTCCTGGTTTGATATAGGTATCTGTATCTAATTTCTTATATCCTCATGATTAATGTATTTAATAGAAAAAATAATTTGTGATTAAATATTAAAGGTATTTTTTATATTTCCCTACAATGAAATAATGTTGGCTGCACTGCGGTATTAGTCTCATACGGGCGATACGAGCAATTATGTGCCATGTTATTATCTGCCGCCGCCGACTAACGAAAGAAAATGATATTTTTTCTTCACATTTCACGAGGCTTCTGTGGTGGAAATGAAATGCTTGGTGACTTTACGCACTTCATTACTGTGATTGACTTAAATATGTGCAATTTCGTTATCTTATTGAAAATATCTGTGTATATAGCAACCATCACAGGATCTATCTCGCGTTAGTATATGTTTAGGTATAAGTAGATAGCTATCAATGAAACACAAACTGGTTTTTAGGATGCTGCAAATACAATTTTTGGGAAGAGAACTTAAATATGTACCTAATCTATTTATTTGTGTACCTAATTATAGCCACCAGTCTCTCGATATGTATTGAACAAATCTGGGTCACAGTTTAAACTGATACCAAATAGTCTAATAGCAGCTGTCAATTTAGGGTGGATCAACGCTGAAGTCGTGACAGCGCAACAGCTAACATTTTCTTCCTAAACTCCTGAAACTCGCCGGTGCTATGATGACATGATCATTTCCAGCCGATGAAACTATTTGTATTTTAGTAATTAAAATAAAACTGTTAGCCTCTGCTGCCGGATACCACTACCGTGTAAATTGACCCTTATAGCTTAAACGTTGGCTGCTAAGGCCTTCTGCACCCCGAAGCTAGACAACAAATTGCACGTCACCAGCACAGCCTACCGGCGCCTTGATAAGTGCGTCCTGATTGAAAACTAACTGTACTACTGTGTCGATTTATCTGCCTTGCTGTCTCTTCATTAGATTTAAGTTTTAACGTCAACGCCTAAGATACTATATACTACCACATAAAATACTACACACAATCAGTGAGAATAATCTTTCTTTTGCTCTCAATTCTCACCATATCTTCAATTCAGACTATAATAGAGTAATGCATTATTAAAAAAAAAATATGCTGATTGCAGTAGGTACCATTTAAATGGTTTGTAAATATTTTTAAATACAGCATATTAACGGTATGCATATCCCAGTATTTTTAAATGCAGATCCTCTTTTCTTAATAGCTTAAGCACGTATAATTATAAATCTTTAAAGCATATGCTTATGTTCCCCTACAATTAGCGCTGTTCGTTCGTGAGAGTAAATTGTTTAATTGTAATATACATAGACGGTGCGCATGCGCCGCACGCGATGTAAACAAAGATGGCGACGCGATAGGGCACCACACCACCACGGTTACTAAAATAAACAGCTGTCAAATAGAGAAACCAGCCGCGCCGGCGGAAGACAATAATAAATACAGTAATCCAAGAGAAAAATAATAGTGACATGCCACAGACGCTTTCTCCATACAAACTGTACGTAGATGGCTTTTACATTCCGTTAGACAATTCTTATCGCATCCCTAATTTTATGACCATGATAAATATCTTTAGTGTACGGTATTTTAATTACCGATCCAGATAAAATGTGCCGTGCGAGATAAATATTATGATGATCCATTTCGAGATCCAATTGCGGTGAATGTCGTCGGACGATGGATAATGACGATAGTGTCACATTTTAAACGAAGCGTCCATGAATCTGCAAGTTGCGGAGCGCAAGACGAGCAGCGAGATTATAAAGGTCTTCTCACACGATACGACATGGACATATTACCAACAACAAAACAATATTGGGGAGATACATATTTTTAATACTATAATTAATTGGATTGATAACTC